TCTAGCCTGATTTGCCATGTATTGATGAAGGCATTGTGGCACAAGTTAGTGGGCAGATAAGGAGGTTGAGACAAGTCTGGAGTGTCTATCTCACTTATTGGCCCAGGGAAGGTAAGCCTTGGCACACTGGCCTTGGAGATAGACCAGCAGCTCTAAACATGCCCTGTGATCCTGCTGCTTACTGTTATGGTCCTTTGCTTGCTTTCAGACTGTGAGTTGGAGGCTCCTGGCTACTTTATTCTGAGTACCTCCTCTCTCTTAATTTGCTTTGACTTCTTGCCTTGGTGCCTCAAACTGTTCCCTTGGTAGGGGCCTCATGTCTCTCATTTTCTGAAAGCACAAAATCTCTTCCTTTCCTTCTCCCCACAAGTATCTATCATGTTCTTTCTATGGGCCACTGACCTCTGAGGAGTCATCAGTGAATAAGTCAGGCTATGTCCCTGCCCTTATGAAGCTAATGGAAAAGTGGGTACAGACAGCAAATCACTGGTATATCAGTGAGAAGGTGGCAGTAGAGCTGTGGGGCAGCACTGCAGGAGACTGTGTAGAGGTCAGGTGAGGTGGCCAGGATAAGGGACCTGTAGGAACCAAGGTGGGAGCAGAGGTAAGTAGAGCTAGAAGGTTGTGTGTTAAGAACATGGATGAAGTGAGGTCATGTATGGGCAGGGAGTCTGAGACCCAGGGCTAGCTAGCCCTTACTTTGAGGGAGGTACAGTCCAACAGTTTCCAAGCAAAGGAATTAGATGGTTCGCTGCCTTCTGCTGGCAGGCATAGTCTAGATGATGGAGATGGGGGAGGGCCATGAGGTGATTGCATTCTTGTAGGATTCTTTTTCCTGTCTCAACACCACTCAGCCTTCAGTCTGTCCTGTCAGAGTGGGGTCTGTGCTCAACACAGCCCACAGAACTCAAGATGCGTGTCATCATCTGATGAGTGATTTCATGGGGTTTTCCCATTTATAGAAGTATTGGGCCTGAGCATTGTGACAGGTTGCACAAGACTTGAAGCAAGCCGGCCATGGCAGCTGCCCTTGGTGACCAGCTCATACCACATGCCCAGGCAGGTTTGTAACATGGCTTGCTCACGGTGGGCAAGGCAAACACCTGGGCCTCAGAGTCTCTGCCCTAGAATGCCAAAGCCAGCTCTGCCACTTCCTGGTCTTGGGGGCGTGGTCAAGCTCTTGAATCTCTCTTAGCTTCCATTTCCTCATTGGCAAATTAGAAATTATATACTTGATGAAGGATCATGATGCTGTGCTTATCCTGGTGGCACTGTCGCCTGACCTCCCCTTGAAACACTGCAAAACTACAGGGCAGGCTATGAGTTGCAGAACCCTTTCCTCTCATAGAGAGGGGCTCAGCAAGAGCCCAGCAGTCTCTTACCCTCTTATTCACCAGACTGGTACCTGCCAAATCCCCTGACAGTTTCCTGAGCCCTGTCAGCTCCCATCTGGACCTCAGATGTAAATTAGCTAAGTGCTTCCATGAGCCTCTGGACGTTTTTGTGCTTAGCCATCAATCTGAGCTCATGCTTTTTCTTTGGCAGCCTAGAAACAACTAGGAAATACACTTTCCACCAAAGCACGGGGGCCAGGTCTGCAAGAGACTAATCTGTAAGCCAGGTTCAGTTTGGCAGCTAGTGCTTTCTGCATTCTTTGCAGACACTGTGAAACTTCTCTCATTGTTCCTTCATGAGCCAGGGAGGAGTATAGGTCTCCATCCCACAACCACAGAGGCCTTCAGTAAGCAGCCTGAACAAGCAAGCAGTCTCTTTCCCGACCCTGGCACCAGCATTCCTTTCACATCCCCAGCCAGAAGATGTCTTCCCTCCTAGATGTTTTAAGGAAATGGTGGATACTCTGAAGATGTTTCTTCAGCCCATATTCTTCCATCTCCTCCCTACCTCCAATGCCTGCTGCTTAAGCAAGTCATCTAGACACTATTAACAAGACCCTCAAGAGCCTTAGAAGCACTCTGCAATCACAGCACTGTGGTAACCTTTCTCAGGCCTGAGCAAAGGCTAGGTCAATGCCCTGGGTTTCCTGGGGTTACTTACTTGGTTTCCACAGCCTCTGCTTAGAGAACTTCCTCCTTACCTCACAGACCCTACTAGTCTCCCAGGTGGCCATACCGGATCCCTTCTACTTATTGATCTAGGCTTTGGCTTCCCACCTAACTGGACTCTCTTGTCCTAATGAGTCCCCTAGTCCCATAACAGTCTAGTGAAACTGTAGCCCAGGTGTCACCTTTTGGAAGCATCACTAACCTCAGACTGGGTCAGAGGTGGGTCTCCTTTGTGCTCAACTTCCATGGTCAAGTGGGTCACCTGAGGTATTAGAAGTGCAGGTTGGGTTTAGAGATGTGGCTTGGGGTTGAACTCCAGCCCAGCCTCACTGAGTTTCTGGGTTTGATCCCCTAGCCCTGCAAAATTAAGAACGTTATTAATTTAAAAACATAATTAGCCAGGAATGGTAGTACCTGTCTGTAATCCTAGCAGTTGGGAGGTCAAGGCAGGAGGGTCAGGAGTTCAGGCCAGCCTGGACAACTTAGTGATACTCTCTCAAAATTAAAAGAATGCCAGGGATACATTCAGTGGTGGAGTTCAGTGCCCTGTGTTTGATCCCCAGCACTGCCAAAAAACAAACCATAACAAAAAACAAGCTCTGCAAATGGTCTCCTGACCCATGTCCCACATCCTCATCTTTGAGTGTCTACCTATGTCAAATTGGAACACTATCTGGCCTAATCCTCTCAGATCTTCCTCAGGAGAGACAAATGAATTGGCACCAAGACCCATAGTTCATAACTGAGCACTGCTGTGTGGTGTGAGCCTCTTTCTTGGGGTCCCTGCTTGACTGAGGCTTGAGCCTGTATCTCATCACAGCCTTGATGGACAAGCTGGACTACTCTTGGGTTTTAATCCTTTTATTACTGTGCTGGACCTGCCCTCTCACTACGCTCTATACTCAGTTTCTTTGTGGCTGCCTCTTCCTCCCTTGGACTGATGAAGCAGAGATTACATGGTCTGGGGGCAGTATGGATTATAGAAGGGAAGATGTCAGGCTAAAACTTGGAACCGGCTCAGAAGGTTTGCGAATGAAGGCCTAGGAAGCAGGTCCCTCAGAGCCTGGCTTTTGGGCATCACAAGGACATTTTGATGTGGCCCAGTCAGCGTTCCTCCGAGAGTATTACAGCCCAGGTGAAGCAGAAACTGAGTATTTTATTCTGCTCTGTGAGTGTGGAAAAGTATGGCCTCTGTGCTTCTAATCTGGGGGCCTAGTTCAAGGCTCAGAACACTCTGCTACCCTGATAGCCCCACTTCTGCCTGCTTTGGGCCTCAGATGAAGTAAAGGAATTCAACCATCTGCCCTGTGTATAAGTGGGTACTGTAGACAGTGGGCATGGTCTTACAACTGCTGAGCCTCAAGAATGGTCTCTACCTTATCTTGATGGGATTTCCTACTTGAAGTTCATTTCACTGTTGAACACAGTTATAGTTGATCCTGTGCCTGCTATTAACTCAGTATGTCAGATTCAAGTTGAACAGCATCTGGACCTAGGGGTCATATAGGCAGAGAACCCTTTAGCTATGAAGGGCCTTGGTTCTTGCCCTCTTCCTGGCATATGGGGGCCATCCATGACTCTCTTGTCCCTGGCTATATGTTGAGTAAGAGCACATAAGGCTGTAGTTTTCCTTGGCAACCTTGACTTTGTAGGGCCTTAGCTTTCATCCACTTTCAGAGTCAGGCTTTGACCCTATAGAAATTGGCCTTAGAATGAGTATTGAGCTTTAACTATCTAGCCTTCTGTTGGAAAGCGGCCCTCTCCTATTTGACCTCCAGGGAAAAGTCAGCCTTTCCTGCCTTGAATGTGTTGTCTAAAAGGTATATACTTCTAACCTCACCTGCCCCTACCTCTAAGGGGCCTTCATTCTTTTATGTCCCCCACCTTTGGCCACAAAGTCCTGACTAGAGCTAAAGAGCTATTGATGGGGTGTTAAACCCTTTGTGGACACAGGAGTAAAGATTTAGATGCCAGTCAGCATGTCTAAACCTAGAGTCAAGATTTTCACTTTTGCCTAACACAGTAATGGGGGGTAGGGGCAAAGTGTGAACAAGTGAGACTGCTTACAGACTGAGAGGTGAAGGCGCATTTAGAACACGTGTTCTAGGGTCCAGGTAGGACTGGGTCCAGGACTGAGAAAGGAATGGGCCCGAGGGAAGGGGGGAAAGCTGATTGGCCAAGAAGGATTGGTGCTATAGAAAGGGTGAAGGGTCCAGGACCAGCCTTGCCCCTAACCATTTCCTCAGCTATAGAACATCACAGCTGGAGGGCATGGCCAGGATTCTAGTTAAGTCTGCATAGACAATATGGTGAGGACCAGAGAGGGGAGAGTGCTTGCTAGACAGCTCATGGGAAAGCGCTACTCTATAGGCTAGTGAAAAGGCCGCCAAGGTAACTGGGCAAGTCGGGCCTATGCCCACCCTCTCACTGTGCCTCACAGGACCCCAAACATAGTTCCACCAAGAAACAGCATTGACAAAAGAGCTTGGGACCTAAGCACTATGACTAAAGCCCAGCCCTCTGAGCCTGAGGCACTCAGCCACTGTCTTTAAATAAGGATTCCTGATATACAAGCTATGCCTGTCTGTGGGGTAATAGGGGTTCCCCAATAAAATGTGGGCACTGGGTCTGCATGGCAGTTTTGCAGGCTGGGCAAGGCAGTCTGGACAAGGTGAGGGGTCCTTCTATACCCACCACTTTATGCAATCCGAGATCGTATTTTGAAGTCAGCGACTGAACAAAAAATCAGTTCCAAAAATGTATCCCATACCTCAGTGATCAAAGTATCCAGAGCCTCCTGGAGCTGTAGGATCGATGTCTGCAGAGCTGCTGTTCATCACTTTGCCAGTGTAGCCAGGAGGAGGGGACCACCTGCCTTCCCATGGGCGCCCTGAGCAGCCCACACACTCACTTCCAACCTACTTCTTGTTTCCCCAGAACCTCCAGTGGGCCCGTGATGTGTTGCTAGGCAGCAGTATCCCGTGGCAACAACTGCAGCACATGCCGGCACAGGGGCTCTTCTGCGAGAGGAACAAGACCAATTTCTTCAACGTGAGTACTTTGCCTTGTTGATTTCTGATGTGCTTGCTGCCACTGCTTCTCACTGAAACCATGCAAATCGACCCCCTGGGCAGGTATTCACAAAACCATAGGTTTGTGGCATTCTCAGAGGGCAGGCAGGGTGGTGCAGACAAGAGTATGCAAAGCTGACATGGATGTGTGTGATTACTGAGTGACTTCTGACAAGTCACTGTCCACACTGGGCACTGGCTTACCCTCTGCAAGGGGAGGTGTGGATGAGCTCAGTATGTCCTCTAGAGCCCTAGGAGTACAGGGGCCATGCAGGCAATAGAGAGGGGCTCTAGGCTAGCCCTACTCCCCCTGGACCAGGTCCACCTGCCCCTGCCTGATGTTGGTCACCCAGGAGATTCTTACTGAAGCTAACTCTACTGCTTAAAAAATAAGTTGGCTCAGTACTGGGCTTTCAGTACCCTTCCATCAAGCCTTGCCATTGTATGTAGGAGGAGAGGAGTCTTTCCATGAACAGGACGTTGTCCGCCTCCCAGGCCTGTCTGTGTCTATTTCCTGAGAGTCTCTGCCTTCCTTGACATCTACCAGACCTAGCCTTCCCTCATGTACCCTACCCAGGGACTGTGGGCTAGCTCTCCTCTCTGCCTCCAGTTATTTCCTATCCTCCACACCTCTTCCATCTTCCTTCCCATCATGCCCAGCCCCCCTGCTAGGTGGCCTTCACAAGTCACATAACCCCTCTTAACTTTGATTTTTCTTTTTTTCCCTAATTTTTTTTGACACTAAGAAATTGAATGGCAGGGTTTACCTGAAAAGGGACTGACAGGCAGGAGGACTATGACAGAAGTTGATCCTTATAAGGCAGACAGGCCCCCTACTGAAAGCTGGCCAGGAAGTGAGAGTGTCCAGTTCCATGGCTCCTCCTTTCTCCTAGGCTGTGACTCTGGGATTCGAAGGGGCTCAAGCCTGGGAGCCCTTTGTCTGCCCATGCTCTCTTTATATTATTATTTATAGGAAATAGTAGGTGTCACTGGTAGTCAAACTACATGGTACTAAGGGTTTGGGTGTGAAAGAGAAGTACCCTCTTACCCCCATGCCCAGACTGTAGCCACTACCATCCTATGTGTGTTCTTCCAGAGGACATCTGCCTTTCCTATATGCATGAAAGACAATGTATATACAGTTCTGCCCTTGGTTTTGTACTTTGCTTTGTTTTTCACTTAATGGCATCTCTTAGGGAGTGCTTTAGAATTTGTTATTCTACTTACCTATTTATTGTAGTACTATATTATTGTAGGGCCTTGCTCAGGCTAAGCAAGTGCTGTGTTAGTGATCAGTATTATACCCCTGCCTGAGATACAGTCTTACCATATAGCCTAGGCTGGCCCTAAATGTGCAGTCCTTCTGCCTCGGCCTCTTGAGTACTAGAATTACAGGTATGCTCCATTGTACCCAGCTTGACCTCTTTGGTTGGTTGGTTGGTTTCTTTGTTTGTTTAAAACAGGGTCTCCTATAGCTCAGGCTGGCCTTAAACTATCTATGGAGTCAAAGATGACCTTGAAGTTCAGATACTTTTGCCTCCATCTCCCAAGTGCTGGGATCGCAGGCATCCACCACCATGCTTGGCTTTGATCATTCTTTTTAATAGCAGCACAGTATTCTCACTGTGTGAATGATCTAGAATTTATCTACCCATCATCACCCACTGGTAGATATTTAGGTTATTTTCAGTCTTCTGTTAACTACCAGCATTGCTTCATATGTTTATCAGTGCACATCTATGGGAGTCCATTTATAAGACGAATCCTAGAACTAGCACTCCTGCTGTGGTCAGAGTGTTTGTGGCACCTTTAAAGTTTTAATAGATACCACTCTCCAGAGATCTGGCTCACATCCCCCTCTTTAGACTGTTTTTTCTTTTTCTTTTTTTTTCTTTTTTTAATTTTATGTGTATGAGTGTATTGCCTGCATGTATGTGAGTGTACCCGTGTTTAGACTGTTTTTTCAAGACCTCATCAATATTATTATTGAATTTGTAAGTAAAAATATATTGTGTATGTATGTGAGTATACATGCCACAGTGTACATGCCATGGTGTGTGAGTATAGGTTCCAGACTTTGTGGAATCAATTCTTTCCATGGGTTCTAGGGATCAAACATGGGTCGCAAGGCTTGCACAAAAAATGCCTTTACCCACTGAGCCATCTCAACAACGCTAACTGTTGAACTCATGATTCTCCTACCTTAGCCTGCTGAGTAAACACTTGCTTTTAATAAGAGAAAAAAAAATTCTCTCATGTTTCATTCATGTGAGATTTCCCATTATGTATTAACAGTTGTATTTTTTCCCGTGGTACTAGGCATTGAACCCAGGACCTAACGCATGTAGGAAGCACTCTATCTCTGAGCTGTATCTCCAGTCCAACAGTTGTAACTTCTATGCAGTTTCTATTTATGTTCATTTTTCTATTGGATTATCAATTTTGTTATTAATTTATAAGAACTCTATATATATTAATTAAATGGACCCTTTTGCATACCTATTTTTCTGCAGTTGAGTTAGTCAAGCAAGTCGTTTGATTTCCTAAGCTCTTTGGTTACTCACCTCTTAAAGTGGAATTCCATTACCTCACTTGAAAACTAACTATAGGATCCTAGGTGTGGTGGCAGATTGTCTGTGAACCCAGCCTGGGTGAGACTGTCTTAAACAAACAAAAAATGCTCTAATTCTAGGAACCAAAGTTAGATAATGGGGTAGTGTTCATAACCCAGGATCTGGCACATGGTCGGTGCTCAGGAAAATGATTTCCCTCCTTTTCCTCCCTTCTTCTTGGTTCTCTGTTCTTAAGACAGTACAGGAGCACTACAAGGTGAAGTCTCTGTTCTTAAAGACAGTACAGGAATACTACAAGGTGGGGCAAAGTTTCCTTGCCTTCCTCAAGTGAGTCCCTTGATAGTACTGAGGTTAAAGTTGTTATGCCTCAGGTGCCTGTTGCTCCCTATAGTACACAGGAGGACCTAGAGCCAGATGCTCCAGGCCGCTTTCCGATTGGGTTCACTCCTTACAGCTCCTGTGGTTTCTGGAACCTCTTCTTAAAAAATGAATCCTTCTGAAGTTCTACCTGTGGAAGGGAAGGCTAGAATCCTTTGTAGGCCTGGTATGTCTAGGGCTCCTCCTAGCTGCTTCTGCCATCTTAGCTTCCTTAGGTCAGGCCTGGTGCCTAGCATGGTAAGAAGTGCTGGGCAGACCCTGAGCAGTCAGCATGTACACGCAGCATCTTTGACTAAGCATGAGAAAAGTGGTAATGTATTGTCGAAGGGTCATTTGGTGTAGCCTTTTGCTACTTTATGGACATAACAGTGTCTCTGATAGGGCTCTAGGTTGGAGTAAGTAGGCTGGCTCGTTCTCACCATGCACTAGGATTTACTGCCTGGTCTGAGGGAGGAAAAAATGAGGGTGTAGGGCTGAGAATGACAGCAGAGTAGCCAAGCACCTTGACTTGCCAGCCCTACATGCCTACTGCTCTGGAGCATCCATACTGGCCAGCCATGGTGTCACTTATTCAGCCATCTGGGAAGACTCATCACCCTCAGGGCCTTGGCAGAAGACTGTTATTAATGACAGTTTTTGAAAATTGTGGGGACCTTATAGGATGGACCACATTGTTACCACCAGCATTTCAGACACAGAGCAAACCTTGGCCCCTTTGGCTGCCCATCCTAGACACTGTCTTCTCATAGGTGCTTCTCTGAGTAGCCCAGTGTTGTTCTTAAAAATAGGCAAGTGCTATGTGAATGTGCCACAATGTATATGACTTTCAACAATTTGCTTTTATTCACTGACACTAAATCTTGAAGTTTTCAGGCTGATTATCTGCCGCTGCCGCAGCCCCCATGGGTTAGCATGTGTAGGAGCCCAGTGCTGCTGTCTTGTGCTCTGAATTTCCTGGTCTAGCCCAGCCTGGCCCAGAGGAGACACTCACTGGTACTTGTGAGTTGATTCTATTCACCCTTTTCCCTTCATGGATGGCCTACAAGCACAGCCTTCTAGACCATTCAGCCTTCTAGTGCTGATGCTGTGGGGAAAAGGACACAGGAGGCTTGCCTTAGAGCCCCTCATGCATATCTTTGTTCAGGGCCTTCCCTGGATACTGCATGGAATGCAGGCAGCCTGGTTCTCACTGGCAGGGTGCAGCTAGGAAGTAGATAGGAAAGAGGGGCCAGGATTAGAGGCACCCTTTGGGGGAGCTTTTCAGGCTGGGCCCTGCCTTGGTTTTTCATGGGAAATGCAATGGGACCAGGGGAAGAGGTAGGTGTTAAAAGGACATGGGTAGGTAGAGTCTTAGGTTCCAATGCCAGATTTCTTGACAGGAATTCTTTTTGTTTTAAGATTTATTTATTTTTATTTTCTGTGAATGAGTGTTTACCTGCATGTATGTATGTGTACCACATGCTTGCCTGGTGCCCTTGGAGGCCAAAAGATGGTGTTGGATCCCCTTGAAATGGAGTTATAGACAGTTAAGGGCTGCCATGTGGGTGCCGGAAACTGAACCCATATCTTTGGCAAGAGCAGCCAGTGCTCTTAACCACTGAGCAATCTCTCCAGCCTACTGATAGGAATTCTTACATTTGGGGACTGCTGCATAGCTGGCTGGTCCTGCACAGTAGCACAAAGCATTCAGCATGCCCAGTGGTATGGTTAAGCCCATGGATGAGGGAGGGAGGAATGAACTGGGTACAAATCATCTCACTGTTTCATGTACTGACTGAACTAGCATCTCCACAGAGGGAATAGCTCCCTGCTCCTAGCCTCTTTCTGCTGTCCTACCTCTATTGTAGAAAATCAGTGTTTATGGGGTTGAGGCAAGAACAGATCAGAGATCCTGGGTTGAGGCTTACGCAGCGTGGTAGGCTGATGCCCAGCTGAAGGCCCTCATTACCCCAACCCTCTAGTATCAGCAGAAGAGTCTAGTCTCTGTCCAAACAGAGCTGGAGTTCTTGGGCATTGCTGATTAGGGCCA